TGCGGGGGTCGCGTTCGAGCCCCCGGCCCGTTCCCCTGTTTCCATAGGCTGGAAAGGCGACAGATCCCCATTGCCATGGGAACGTCACATTTTGCAGAAGAGCTGCCAGCCCTCGTCCTCCCCGGCAACGTGGGAGTTGTTTTGCTGGGAAAGGAGGGTGCTGCGGAAGTGGGGGGAAGATCTCGGCTTTGCTCGGGAGGGGCCCAGAGGAGTAGAGCTCAGGTGCCCCCCGAGTCCAGCCTGCACCATCTCACCGAAGACCCACGCAATGCAGGTCTCCGTGTGGGGAATGGTGGCAGGAACAGCGGGGAACACAGCTGAAGCTCTGTCTATGATGCCACTGGCCACAAAGCCTTAAGTTTTAGGCCCAGGGCTGGAGGATGCAAACAAGGCCCCCCCCCCCGCCGGTTCCCACCACCGCATGTTTGGGAAAGGGCTAAGCAGAGCTGCTTCTGCACAGGTAAAATGTCTTTGGACCCAGGGAGCAGCCTGGCATAAGACCTCTTTCCTGCTCTTAAGGCAAGGTGGAGATGACAGAGGAGGAGGGCAGCACAAGGGAGCTGCTCTGCCTGGGGGTTTGGGTCCCAAGGCATCCCAAGAAGAAGCAGAGTCATGCAGGATGGCCTGCCCTGTCCCCACCTCTTCCCACATCTTCTGGCTGGGCTCTGCAAAAAGGGCTAGCACTGTGAAAGTTGATATGAAAAGTCATGTTCTGCTCCAGCAGAACCTGATCCTGGGTGACATTCGAATGCTGAGGTTTTGCAAGCTGGCTGTGCAGCGGGGTTTTGCTAATTCTACAAAATCTTGGCTCAAGCTGCTCACTCACTACGTGGGCTGTGGGCGTGCTGCCTCAAACAGGGCTGGACACCCAGGTGGGCTGGGGAGCGGTGATGCCCAGGGAGCATGCAGCAGGGTTCCCAGCATGCTGCCAGGAGGAGGGCAAAGGCCTGACCCTATCTGTTGTGGCAGCAGGGTATCTAACGGACTCAAGCTGTGCGGTTGTACAAAGCTGCGCGTGCACAGCCACACAGCTACACTGGTAACTGAGAATGGTACGGTCTGACAGTGCTGGCTAAGAACAGGATTCAAGGCATGGCAAACTGACAGAGGAAGCCACCACTAACACGACTGGAAGCAGATCAATGCAACACAAACACATGAGAGGTGTGTTGCCACATTGTCAGGGTGAAAGAAACGCAAGCTTGAGGTCTGCATCTGAACACACATGATGCGGGGCAGCATGTGTAACCATATGCACACACACACATAGGTCTTTTTTACATCTAGTCCCACGCCTCCACAAGTTGTGTCTCCTCCCCATCCCCACCCCTACCCATATCAACCCTATGTTGATCAACCAGGGGATTCAAGATCAAAGAACTGGCTTTTGGAGGCATGCAGTTGCTCAAGTCCCATTGCACGAGGTTTCAGCTCCCTTTACAGCTCTGTCTGGTGGTGCTGTAGAGGCAGGCGTGATTGTGCAGTTTCTGGGCAGTGCTGGCAGTGAACATCCTGCCTAGGTATTTGCAGGAGGCTCCTTGCAGAGGTTCTCCAACTGAATAGACACTTCACTGCAGATTGTAGTCTGGCTGCCACCCACAAACCAGATAAAACCAGTCCCCAAGTCACACCTAATGCAGAGGCCTCCAGATAGCGGCCAACAGAAAAGAACAAGATGGGGAGGAGAAAATCTAATAATGAAAGACACACAAATGGCAGTGGCAGGTGTGTCAGGCAGAGAGACAGACAGACCAGCACAAACAGGGGCAAGGAAGCAGCCAAAAAGACACAGTGCAGCGCAGCAGTGCAGATAGCAGCAAGCATAGGTCGAAGTGGCATGACAGACGGACAAGCAAGCAGAGGCAGGGCACAAACAGCCCTCCTAGGTGCTCAGATCAGCCAGACTGCCCCTAGCTCCTGACTAGAGACAAAGCCAGGCTAAGTGCGGAGTCCTTTTGCTCTGCTGGAGTGTGTCTGAACTCAAGGACCCTCCCCAGTAGCTGCAAGCGGCATGCCCGGGAGCAGAGGCACTGAGGGGACCGTGACTCGGGTGTCTGTTGCTGCTGCAGCAATTAAAACCTGGCCTTGCCCAAGGACATCCTGCTGCAGGGGACGCGCTTCGTCTAGGAGAAAGGTGGGTACACATCCTTCCCAAGAGGAACATCCCTCCCCTGCCCTCAGCCTACCCCCGAACACGGGAAGAAGAGAGAGCGTCTCCCCCTCCTGCTCATGAATCACTGCACAGCAGTACACTCTGGGACCTGCTCAAAACGTGATGGCAGGATGCCCACGCAGCAGCCCGTCCCTACCAGGAACCGTTTGCTCCCTTACTGCTAATTGCTGGGGAGGCTCCGAGACACGAGGTCCCAGCCACCGGGACCTGTGGGCAGCTCTGCTGGGGAGAGACCTCTAACATGCTCTCCAAAGCCATTAGAGCTGGGGAGTTACGGGATGGAGGA